TAGGTTAATCTGTAAAGTTAGATATTAAATATTTATTTACAAATATAATAAAAAATTATTATTAATTATGAAAAATATATTAATCATATATAATTAAATTAATTAATATATGTAATTAATATGTAACTTATTTTTTTAAAAAAAGATTTAAAATTAGTGTATAACTATTAAAATTTATACTATCTATTCATATATTTAATTAATTAAATTTATTAAAAGATTTTTTATTAAAAGAATTTCTAATAAATTAAATTTCATATTCTTTCTTATTTAATAATTTATATTTTATTAAATCTTCAAAAATTTGTTTTAAATTTAAATTAAAAAAATGTTTTAATAATTAGTTTTAATTATAAAATAATAGAGATAAGTAAATAAGATCTAAGTAAGAAAAATTTAAAACTATTTAAAAAATATAAATTAACTATTTTATTAATAATTTCTTATATCATCAAATTAAATAAATATAATCAATTTTTTTTTTAAACTATTAGCAAGTATTTACTATTATATCAAACAAGAAATTTTAATATTATATAAATTGCTTATCTATATTTTAAATAATTTTCAGAATAGTTCAATTTAGTTTGAATTATAAATCAATCTAAATCTAAACTAAAATTTTAGTTTAATTCAGTTCAGATTATTAATCTTAAAAATGCTAATCTATATCTGATTGGTAAAAATCTAAATTAAACTAAAAATTTTAAATTAATCTGAAAGTTCTGTTTATTTAGAATAGTTTTTATAATTTTATTAAATGATACTTTTATTATTTATTTGAAATAATTTATTTAAATAATGTTTTTATTATTTCAATTAAATGATATTTTTATCATTTATTTAGAATAATATTATTACTCTTTTAATTAAATAATTTATTATCATTTTGTTTAAAATTATATTATTATTAATTTAATTAAATAATTTTTTTATCATTTATTTGAAATAATAATTTTATTATTTTAATTGAACAATTTTTTTATATTTATTTGAAATATATTTTTATCATTTCAATTGAATGATTCTTTTATTATTTATTTAGAATAATAATAATAACATTTCAATTGATTATATTTATTTAAAATAATATCTTTATTATTTTAATTATATAATACTTTTACATTTATTTGAAATAATATTATTATCTTTCAATTGGATGATTCTTTTATTATTTATTTGAAATATTATAATTGAATAATTCTTTTATCCTTCATTTAAAATAATATTACTATTATTTAAATTAAATAATTCTTTTATCATTTATTTGAAACAAATTATCTAAAATTTTGAATTAATCTTTATATAATTTGTAATTAAAATGAAATTAATTTAAACAGAAAATTTTTAGATTAATTTGAACATTTTAGATCTTTAAGTTAAATATTCTTTTGCATTTTATTAGACTAAAATTTTATAGTTTATTAGTACAAATTGAATCAAAATATAATAAACTAATATTATATAATTATGACTTTCTAAATATATTTATATAAATAAATTTAATTTTTTTACTTTTTAAAAAATAATTTAACTTATACTTTATCTTTTTACAATTAAATTTTAATTGTTTCAATTTTTTCTTTTTTACATATTATTAAAATATCAACAAAAAAATTGTTTAAGAAATAAAAGGAATATAAATTGAATTTTATAAATCAACTAGCTAATTAACTAATCAATTTTTCAAATAATAAACTGATTTTTTATTTTCTATAATAGAAAATTATATATTTCAGATAATTTAGTAGGAAAATATTATTAAAGTCTATTGATTAATTTTCTATTAATAAAATAAGTAAAAAATATATAATAATAATATATAGTAAAATATGATCTATTTTCTTTTTAAAATTTCATAAAATTATTCAAAAATATAAAAAATAATTAATAATATAATATAAAATAAAAATTTTATGAATTTATATTAGATTTTTATTATTAATAAAATTTTAATATTTAATAAATTTAATTAAATAAAAAAATACTAATTTTATATGCTTATTTAACTAAATTAATGCTGAATTAAAGCCAATTTTAAATTAATATATAGTTATTTAAGTTCTAAATTAATATTAAATTAAAGGCAATTTTAAGTTAATTTATAATTAATTTAAGTTCTGAATTGATACTGAATGTCTATATCTAATTGGAATTGATTGGTAATGATTAATAATAATTTAAAAACTCAGAAAATATGACTAATTAACTATGAATAGTATCAAAATTAATCTAAATTTATTTATCTAATTTCTATTAATTTAAATTATTTTAACTATATAAAATGTGAAACTAATTTTTTTATGCAGAAAAGCACTAACTATTTATTTTATTTACAAATTTAATAATATGTAAACTTATCTAATTCATTTTATTGTAATATTTATAATAGCTAAAAGAAATCTCTTAAATATTCATAAATATTTAGTAAAAAATTTGTATTAATATTAAGAAATTAAGAAATATTAATATGATATATTTATTTTAGTTTTTAAGAATAACATTCAGATATTTCTTTTGCATAACTAGATTTTTTCTTAAATACTTTTAGCTAATAATCTATTTATAATTTTTAATAAAAAAAAACTAACTCATAATTCATTTATAAAGATTATTTTATATATATCAGAGATCTAAATTGTGGATTAGAATAGATCAAAATTTTACATATCTTTAAATTATTAATCTTAAAATATTAATGTAATTATAATAATACCACTATGTTTAATCTTTTAATAAATCATATATAAACATTTATGTAAATAGAAAATCTTAACTTTAGTCATATATTTTTATAATAAAAATAATATAAATATATAATAATAATTATAATATTTTATAAATATCTTTTAGAAAGTATTCAGATATTTGTAAGATTAAATATATCTATTTTAAAATAAAGGTCATAATACTTATCTAAGTTTTTTTATATTCACATTTTTTAAATATGTTCACAATTCTCTTATATATTTTATCACTAAGTTAACCATGAAATTTGTAAATTAGTAAAAGTTTTATTTCCTTAAATTTTTATAAAAATCAATATACTCATAAGATAAATCTTTTTTTTTACATTAAAACAATTTATTTTGAAATAAAATTTTAATTATTATTTTATTATTGATTAATTTTCATTCAAATTTTCATAAAATTTGTTAAGCTAGCATTTATAAACTACATACTATCAAGTTAATCTACTTTTATAGACTTATATATCAGTAATAACTAAATCTGATAAGTATTAATAAAACATCCAAATTAAATGAAAATCATATTCTTAAAAATTATAAAAGACTACTGAAATCAGAGTTTTTTTATTGTTTGTATTTACTAAATGCTTAATATAATTTTTATCTATATTAAAGTTTTATTTACAAATCTAATAGCTATTTATTTCATTGAATTGAAAATTTAGTATTCAACTATTATAATAAGATCAGCTTTAACAGCTAAGACATCATAGATGTATACTAATTCTTTATCAATTCTTCAAATAAATTCTTATATGACATTTAGTCTTCAATATAAGAAGGGTTTCTCCTATATAAAACTAATAGATTGTATAGCAGATACTATTAGCCTTTTGCTTTGCAAATTTCTTATTATCATTCTTAATGATGGACTAGGAATTTTTCAGTTTTTTAGCTTTGAAAGCACCTATTACAAAGATGTCTTTTTTCTTTATATATTATTTTCTCATAAGCTAAGCTATCTGGATTCTTAATCCACAGAAAGTGATTCTTTTGACCATAACTTGTCATCTGATTTGATAATATCTGTAAGAGCCATGAGATGAATAGTATATTATCTGTTAAAGTTTTTGCTATATATAACTCCTTTTGGTTTACCAGTTTATTCTTTCATTCCCAAACATTTATAGAGATATCAGGATTCATTTCCTCAATCTTTTGGAAAATTTGCGATGAAATAGGAGTAAGCTTTGAAATTTCTTTCAAATTAATCTTATCTAAATGTGCCTTAAACTTTTTGCCCTGAAAATTCGTTTGAGATGCTCTATATTTCTATCCTGATCCACTATTTATCATTTCTTCGATTTTCTTATCTATTTCTGGGGCAGAAAGAGTTATGTGTTCATCTATAACTCCTTCAGAAAGAATTGCTCTCATTCCTCCTCTATGCCATATTTCTTTTATTATTATTTTGAAATATATATATATTTTTTTTTGCGAATCCGCAGTCAATTCGGTAACCTTCATTCAGTCAATGGCTTGGCCTAAATTGGAATGGTCTCATTTTGGCTTGGCTAAATAAATAACAGGTATTTTCACAAAAATATAAATACCGTTCCCAAAGAAAATTTGTTTTCGAAATGTTTAAAATTTTTTCGTCTATATCCTTTTTTCCTCGATATACCAAGCTTGAAAAAATCCTCATAATAGCATGTATCATTCATTCAAGTTTATATTTTATCGTCGGTATCGATCATATGATACATACTTTAAGTTATGATGATTCAATAGCTATTTATATTTTAATTCCTTTAGCTGTATTGATTCCAATTTGTTCGATTATTATTGTAAGTGCCAAAGCCCATGTTTTTATTTTTGATTTTTATTGGTTATAATAAAAAATTTTTATTTAAAAAAAAAATTTATAGATATGGGAAAGATCAGTCTTGCACGGAATTGTACACATAGTGACGAATATACTATTATTTACACCTTATATTATTCTTACTAACTATTGTAAAAATGAGCATCGTTGTTATGTTCGAGGTTTACGTAAAGATTTTTTGTTTGGGTCGATTCTTCACGCCACATTTTTTATAATTTATTGTATTTTAATTTATTTACTTTGGCATTACAAGTAAGTGAATTTTTAATTGTTTTTTTTTTGGAAACTTTTTTTTAGAAATCTTACCTTTTTGGGGAGGTTAGAATTTGGACTACGACGAGAGACATGAAAATTACAAAAAAGCAAAATATTAATAGTAAGCATACCAAGAAAAATCTTTTTAAAGTTATCAAATTTTATTAGAAATGTATAAAGTTTATCAATATCAAATGGTTTTAATGCATGCAATTTTCATAATTGTTGGAGGTTGGGCTTACTTTACGTGGTTAAAAGAAGTAACCTTGTTTAATTATAATGCAAAATCATTTGGAATAGAAAAAAAATACTCGGTTTGGCCCGTATACATTCCCGATCAAATAATATATTTGCTTTCACTGGGATTCATACTTAGAGCTGTAAGTATACAATCAGTATATGGGATCATGTGAGGTGGAATATTATCCTAACTCGAGTGCATTTTAACTTTTAAATAGATAAGAGAAGAATTAAGATGGATGATGAATATTTTATTACTAATCAACATTTTGGAAATTGGAAGCATTTTATATAGGTTAATCGTATGGTGCCCTGACGATTTATTTAATTCCAATGAATTTGGTAGATGCAAGTTTGAAAATAGAATTAAATACATCACTGATTATACGACTATATTCATTGTTGGTATCTTTTGTCTGTTGCTTACTATTTCACATTTCTTAACCCTTTTGATCTGTTATAAGAATTTTGGGAATAATTTTGGATTTTATTGTAAGTATTTAATTTTTCCTCTTGAAAAATAAAAAAAATCTCATTATCATTCTTTATCATTTGAAAAAAGTGAGGTATGTTGAAATTCCACCTGAATATAATTATATTGACGATATTCCAAGAAGAAGAAAAGGTGTTATTGGACGCGTATAATTTATATTCGCAGTTACAATGATAATTCTATGTAAATATTTCTAATTTTTTTTTCTTCAGTCTGTGGCGGACCGCAATTTCAGTTAGCTGATCGTTCGGATTTCAATTTCAGATACCCGAAAGGCAATCCCATTTTCAGGCGAAAATCTTTCAAACCTTTCTTGGTAATTTCTGGTTGGTCGCCCTTAAACAATGTTATACATAATCGAAAACCTTTTGCCAACACGCAACCTGTGACGTTGACTTCTGCTTTCAATTGTGATTTGTTTCACCATATAAGGATTTTTTGATTTTAATCATGGTAAAGAAATTATTAAAATGATGAACAAGATATTGTATAGTTCCCTAATAACAAAAACACAAATTAATTTTTTTTATTTTTTTTTTTTTTTCGATTCAAATTTTTTTTTTTTTTTAAAAAAAAAAATTTGGTTTATGAAATATACATATACGATTACATTTTACTTTTAATAAAATCTTGGGTTTCCCGTAATCAGAATAATAATACGATGGTCGAAATTGTTGCTGTCATTTTTTTTTTTTTTAAAAAAAAAACTTTCATCCATTTTATGTGAGTATTCTAATTATTCTTTTGATGATCTTTCTTTATGTCACACAAATATAATTTGAAACAGGGCGGCGGCACTTTACGAAAATCTCGAATAAAACCTATTTCCTAGACAAGCATACACACGCAGTTAAAATTTATTAGAAAATTAAAAATCGTTGCTTTTAATTGAACGTATTTTTTTTTTGCGATTTAATGAATATTCGAAAGATAAAAGGTTTAATGGGAACCATATTTCCATCCAAAACATGAAATGATTCAGGGTTCATGGTTCATGGCTTATTCACTCTTTTACGTCGGATTTAACTGTTTCATCCAGTCATCAACATCAGGTTTAATGGGAGAAAAAAAATTAGTCACCTACTAAATAATTCGAGTACATTTCACGAGAGAATGAAGCTGAAGAAGCAATTATAAAAAAAAAAAAAAAATAAATCAGCAACCTTTATCTAACAAAGTTTCTTTATTTATTTACTATTTATAAAATATTATTTTGACTTTTTAATTAATTTGCATGCTTTTTTTTTTCATTAAAAAAAAGTGATTTACACCATATATGTAAATAAAAATTACTTTAACACCAATAAACATCAACGGCATGAATTATGAAACTTTAATTGAATTTTTCCGGAGTTATCTAAAAAAATTTATGAAGGATCTAAATTAAAAGTGAAATGACGCTTTGTGATCAAAAAACGAATTCCCAAAAAGTCATGCTGCTCAATCTTGTCTAAATTTAGTAATCTTAATTTATTTTTAATAGTTTTAAATAAACAAGCGTTTAATTCGTGTAACATTTATAACATTCTGTCAAAATGAATGCCGAAGAACGTCATGTAAACAAGAGGGAATAGGTCAACGAAGGTAAGCATCAATTCAAAAAAATTCAATGGCAATAGGTTAAAGCAACTGGGTTAAGGTCAATCTGTTAACTGTCCGAAAATTTTCTCTCGTAACAACCAATATTCAACATATATTTATAACTGACGCAACCTATTTTTTTTATTTTTAAAAAAAACAAATACTCAGCGGAAGAGTAATCGCAAGGGTTAGCTTGAATGACGTTTCATCCGGAACCGTCGTTTAACCTATAAAGTCGTCGTTATCTGAAAAAAAAAAATGGTAAAAGATGGAACTAAGAATGGAGGGGGTTAATCAAACATGGGGAACGTCACTAACGCTAAGGGTACTAATATCGAATAATATTCACGGTCGACCTACTGTTTCGGGGTTCTAATTAATGCAGGTAATTAATTTTTTCATTGTGCTATAAATGATTTGGTATATCATATGGAGTTCGATATTAAGTGTTTATTCATAAATACGATGAGGGATGCTTACTGGTCACGATGAACATAATAATCATGTATGATTAAATTAATTGATATGTGTAATTAATGTGTAACCGGCACATGACAATCAGAAATCCACACTATCCATACTCGCATTAATTAACCACATTTATTAATAGTTTTTCCATTAAAGGGATTTCCGATAAATTAAATTTCATATCCTTCCTTATTTAGCAATTTGTGTTTCATTAAATCTTGTCACAGGTTTAAATTAACGAAATGTTTCAAAATTGTGAAATAAAGGTAAGTAAGTAAAGACCCAGGTAATAAAATTCGAAACCATTAAAAGGAACACAAGGCGACCATCCCACCAATAATATCACTTATCTCATCAAATTAAATAAATTTCTTTTTTTAAAACTTTCAGCACGTATTTACCGTTATATCAAACAGGGAAATTTTAATGTCATACGGAATTGTTTGTTTATATTTCACATAATTTCGGTCTCGTGATCGTCATTCAAATTTTGGGTTCATTGCCATAATGGTATAATTCGAAAAATGTTGGACCCAATTTAATGATGCAAGTTATTTTATCCGATTAAGGCATAAACGATCTCAACCATCCGCGCGGTATATGTGGAGTAAAATTTGTTATAAATACATTGCAATTTTTTGCGTCCTTTTTTTTTTTTTTTTTTTCATTTCCTTCAATTCATAACAAATCCGTTTCGCCGATCTTTTTAATACATCCTAAATCTCTAAACATTCTACTTTTTGTTTACAGGATTAAACAAAACAAGCACATTCTTTTCATTCCTTCTACATTTTAAACAACTAAACCGAAATTAAATCATGTTGGGATCTAAATTCATTACTTTGTTGGCCGTTATGTTGGCTTTGGTTTGCTTGATTGTATCTGCTGCACCCGCTCCTCATGCTAAACCTCCAAGTAAGTTACCATTAATTAATAATTTCATGAAGATAGATTTTTTTATCTGAAATTTAAAACTAAACCATTCCTTTTTTTTTTTTTTTAATTACCTCAAGATCCTAAAGATCTTCAAAAGGAAGAAGTTTTAGTAGCCGATGTCTTCGCTGTAAAATCTGATAATACAAACGAAGAGCTCAAACCCTACAATATAAATACAGAGGATGTTGATAATGAAGAAGTCAAAAAAATCATAGAAAATGCAAAGATGGAGAAGGCCATGTAGGACGATTAATTATTTTACTTTGAGGAATGCGGTTCTTGTATTCTATATTTAATTGTGTGTTATGGTGTGTGTTTTTGGTATCAAATTGTAATTACTATAATTTCAAAGATTTAATTAGATTTTGATTTTTTTGATATAATTTTTTTTTTTACTTAATAAATCTCGTCATACAAAAATTTTTAATGTTTTAATATAATTAAAACATTATCGGTCAAAAGATATTCTTCTCTCCCTTTATCTAATTTAGAAAGGAATCCCATCCCATCATTTTACTTACATAATAAATTTTTTTTTCACTTAAAAAAATAAAAACTTACATTTCGGACTTTTCGAACTTTTGTTCCGGGTTACAATATCATTTTATTAATAAATCATTTAAAAAAAAAAAAATAAATAAATAAATAAAGTTCTCTAGAGTAATTCAAAATGATTTTATAGATAATTAAATTATTAACGTTAAACGTTCCTCATCTAACTGTACTTCTTGCAAATCGTAAGATTTACAAGAAAACAATTTCTTGTTGTTACGCAACCTTGTTACTTTATTATTTTTTCTTGTATATTCTCAATTTATAGGAATAGAAAACTTTATTATAGAGTTTTTAAATAATGTAAAAAGGAAGAAAAAAAAAGAGAAATAAAGAGACAAACTAAATGGCGAAAACAGAAAGACGGAAGGAAGATTATACTGAAACCGTGTATAATCTCCAATAAGAGAACTGCGCAAGCTGATACTAATCATAATTCATTATTAGTAAATGAAATTTTTTTTTAAAACAATTTACGTTTTATTTTCAACAATCCAAAAAATACATATTTACATCACACTCCTTATGGAAAACCATATGTGTATTCATATTGTAGTACGGGATCATTTTAATTAACTAAAATGTAATACAATACAATAATATATAGAAATGTGTATTACCACCTCGTTCAATAACACACAAGATATGCATAGTTCAAATAATAAATCGACGAATAATTTGTTATATATAAAAAAGACACAATTGTCATCCACCATTAATTTTATTCAAAAGTATTTTTGGTTTAATATCTGTGCAGATTGCTTCTAGGACCTATGAGCCTCCTCATGAGGGTATTGGTATCTCTTTCAAAGTTACATAATATAATTGGAGACATAGCTCCGTCGTTGGTAAAAATCTACCGCAAAGAAAAGAAATTCATTTTATTTTTGATATTGCATATTTCAAAAATTTTTTGCGACATAAATCAAAAAAAAATCTATAAAGATAAGAATTAAAAGTGGTTAAATAAAATCCGCATGTTCCTACTTGAATAGGTTTCGAATTAGAGATCAAGAAATTCAGGTTATTAACTATTTATAATATTAATTAACCGAAGAACGATTAAGAAGTCCGCAATAACGTCCTTCATTTTTTTTTTTTTTTATATTGGGAGCTATAAGTTGATTAACTTACAAGTATACATATATACAGTATTTGGCCATATTATATTCTCCTTCTAGTAAATAACCTTTTTTAGTGGAAGGGGTTTGTTGATGAATTTTTAAATAATAAATATCATATTCTTTTGGTCCGGTTAACGTCAAAAGATAGACATACCAACCATTCCCGTGACTCGAGTCCTTGAGCATACGAATTTATACAACTGCATTCATGAAGGTGTTGAATGAATGTTGATGAATTGAATAAAGATGTGTGAAGAAAGTGATTGGGACAATTGCATGCATGATAAATGATAAGGTGCGATCAATGGAGCAATCTTGATGAAATCATCAAATGTTGAGGATGATTATTCTAGATTTTGGTCATGATTGTGATGATTAATTTGTTTTTGAATTTAGCTCCCTCCATAAATTTCCAAAGAATGAGAAGCTATCAATATGAACTTTTGATTTTAGAATGAAAAAAAAAATTTATTAATTTTATTCATTAAAAAAAAACACATGAAAACGAGTAACTTAAATTGTTAATAATTAAAGCTCAGACATGTCGCGATTGACGTTGAACTCAAAACTTTTTTGGATAATTATTTTTTTTGGTAAAATAATGATAATAATAACAACGATAATAATTATGAAAATAATAATTTTCGAGATGATTTTCGATATCCGATATTCGTTTGAAATTATTTTAAAAAAATTTTCAAATATTTGAAATGAAATTTGTATTTCAAACGGAAACCCTAAGTAGTTCATTCCGGAAATCTAATAAAAGGAAATCGAGTCGACCACAAAATAAATTGAAATAAAATAAGTCGTTCTTGGCAAAATTCCGGAAAAATAAATTTCTTTACATAATTTACTTAACGTTAATAGACGTTAGATCCGATTTTTGAAAATCTGCTCAACGTGATCATTTAAAAAGCAACGTATTACGTTACATTGTGTTCCTAACTCCCAATGGAAAAGATTTGCCAATCTAATTCAATATATAAATGGACTGTGAAAATTCACAGGCTCTTTTTTGGGTCAAAATATTTTCTTACAATGTCACTTGAACAATTTAGAGCGCTCTCAAGAGATTTAAGTAAATTATTAAAGGAAGCTTATAATCATGATGTAATCATCTACGTTGGCGTAGAACCAGATATTAAAACATTTAAGGCACATTCAGGAATATTACGGATTAGGTCACCTTATTTTAATACGGCATTATCATGCCAATGGGTAAAGAAAGAAGGGGATGCCATGGTTTTTAATAAACCGAATATCTCTGCATCGGTATTTGGTAATATTTTGGAGTAGGTTTAAACTATGGTCTTTTTTTAACGTTCATGTACGCAACACGATTTGTCTTTTCCTAACTTTTCGTTATTTACTTTTAGGTACATATATACTGGCACGATGACATTATCAGAGAAATCGGGAAAACAATGTTTGGAAATCTTGGTAGCAGCGGATGAACTTTTGATGAATGAATTACATGATCTAATGCAAAGTCATTTACTTGAAAAACATAGCTTATGGTTACGTAAGAGTTTCGCATTAGTTTATCGTACAGCGGTTAGATTGGATGCCTCAAAAGAATTACAAGAATTTTGTAAAGGTATTCTTTATACGGAACCAGATGTTTTATTAAGGGCGGAAGATTTTACCACACTAGATCAAGATACGTTGGCGATAGTGCTAGAACAACGTAATTTTCAAATGAAAGAAATACAAATATGGGATCATATAATTCAATGGTGCATGTCAAAGCATCCAAATGTTTGTAGTGACGTAACAAAATGGACGACAAATGATTTTGTTGAATTTGAAGAAACGCTTCGACAATGGATACAATTTGTCAGATTTTGTGAAATCAATTCAAAAGAATTTTATCAAAAGGTCAGACCATTTAAAGCTTGCTTTTCACAATCATTATATGAAGATTTAGAATGTTTTTATTACACGGGGGTACAAAAAGAATCACTCACGTATCTACCAAATAACGCGATTAGGTCATCTCTCATAAATCAAGAACAAATTTCAATCATATCAAATTGGATTGATGGAGGTCAAAAACGTAATTCTAATAATTATAAATATCACTTTGGATTATTACTTCGAGGGAGTATTGACGGATTTTCTGCGGATGAATTTCATACAAAATGTGATAATAAAGGTCCAACTTTGGTTCTAATGAGAATAAAAGGTACCGATCATATTATAGGGGGGTATAATCCGACGTCATGGAAATCTCAAACTGGGTGGATATTGACCAGGGATAGCTTTATATTTTCTTTGGGTTATGGGAATAATCCGCAACCACAATGGTCGCGTGTCTTACAACCCGAGAAGGCCATTTGGAATTCTTTTAAGAATGGACCGTGTTTTGGAGATGGTGATTTATGGTGCGTAGAGAATTTATGTGAGGATGAACTATGTTCTTCCGAATCTAAATCTTATAGACAAGGGATTTGTGATGCTATTATAAAAAGTATGAAGGGAAATGTATCTTCTATTGAACAAGAGTGGGATTCGACTTCATTATATCTTGAGGCTTCATTTTCTACAACAAGAAATCCTTTTGGTTGGGGAACTGATTTTACAAATAATCATAATAAATCTTCTTCTTTAATTGGTAACATTAGCTATGGTCCAACTAGATTTAGTGTGGATGAATATGAGGTGTTTTGTGTTAGTAAAACTGATATCGCTGATGTGCCCATTAATTCTAAAAAATTTAGACGTGGTAAAAAAAGGCTAACCCTTGTTGAGAAATATCACACTCCTATGGATAAGGAAGGGTGGTGGGAATGTAATTAATTTTACATAATTTACTACGGTGAAAAAACTAAAAATAAAAAATTCCAATTGTTGGCAAAATTAGATATTTAAATTGTTCTCCGGATTTGCAGTACGATCAAATCATCGAATAAATTTATAATTTTATTTAATAATAAGAAAAAAAAGGACATTGTGGCTGATGAAATAGATATCCGGAATTGAATGATAAATTCATTTGAATTTAATACAGCATAAATTTAACAATTTTTTTTTAGTTTTTTTTTTTTTATTACGGTTTACAAAGGAAATGAGTACATTTACCCACAAATGTACGAAAATATTTATGAAATATTATTGTTTCGATTGAGTTCACAACACCCTTTTTCTTTTAGTAATAAAAAAAAAATTACTTTGACCATCCTTGCACAAGATTTATTGGCATCTTCTAAAGATGATCTAAACCCTTTTACGCTTCGTACTTTCGATTTCGGTTTCGATGTAAATATGCTTTAAATTTAAAACAAGATGTTATCAAAACTTCGCCAATCTTGATAAATGGCGCGTATTTAATGTTTATTCTGTTAAATTATCCCATAGCAAGTGGAAATGTTTATTACGGTCACTAAAAGGATTAGCCGAATAAGTTTGTCACGATACTAAGTGACTTTATAAGAGAAGAAAGAGAAAGTATCAGCTGATGACATTATAGTTCAAAAAAAGCAAGAACTTAATATTCCTTAAGGAAAAGTTGTGAAATATGAAACGTCGTTAACATGTTGTTTTTATTGCAATTATGATTAATTTATCAGATAATTTCCCTTTAATTGAATATTTTCGTATTCTATACCTTAGGGATCATTATTGATTACCACATAAGCAAATTAATGTTAAATATAAAAATTATGAGCATATTTTTATATATATAGACCTCATACTTTAATTATTTTGATTATTTGATGATTAACAAAAAATAAGTGGAAAGTTGGAAAATCGTAAATTTATGACAAATCAAATTAAAAAGAATTTTATAAAATATATAACATTGAGCAAATGTAAAGATTATCATCACGAAAAGGTATCGAGCTGAAATTATAAGCATTTACCGGGATCTGATTGGAAATTTTCAAATATTAATTACAAATAAAATATTTGGTCGGATCTTAGCTTTTAAATGTTACAAACCAGTTAAAAGAAGTACCGATGACAGAAACTTGATTTCAATCGCTTATTGGACAAGAAATTTAGTAGCAATATAGAAATTCACAAGAGGATGGAATTAAAAGACGCAATAATAATCAAAGATAAAGCGTTACTTGTAACAGAAAATTTTCTGCAATTTTCGAAAATATGCAATTCGATCCTAACGAAAGGGTGAAGGAGATGATGTCATATTGGGTGATCACAATTGAGTGAACGAACAGCAAGAAGAATTACGAAGTCTCAACAATTAATAAGTAATATCTTAGAAGGATTACAAAGTCTATATTTAAGAAATGTACCTTCATTAGAAAGGATATATTCCACAAACCAGTGATGGCAAATTATAAGATCATTTACTATTTTTTAAATGACCTTTGGTCATTTTGACTTGAAATTTATAATAAAAATGATGTCATTTGAGGTCGTTTGAGGTCATTTCAAGGTCATTTGCCAACGCTGCCCATAAGCTTTCTTCTTAAATTCAAATTAGTTTCAATATAATGTCTAATATATCTTATTAAATTCTTTCATATATTTTTATATACAAATTCTTTTAACTACTATTATAAAGAATTACTAAACAAAAATTCATTTAAGAAATTTGTTTTTATAATATCAATTATACCTTATAGTTTAATTTTAGCCAATTAGTTTTCAGAAAAATTATTCTACTAATAATTCTGAGCTAAAACATATTATCATTTTAATATACTATTCTTTAAAACAATAGACTTCTTTTAGAAAAACGAAACAATTAGTTTATTTATTTATTTTTTATACAATAAACCTAAATGCATCTTTTCTTAATATAAACACTTTATATTTTTTTTTAAATGCAATGCTCTCATTTATTCTAAGTATATAAAAAATAATATAGAAAATTTCTCTTAAATGCATATCCATTTTAAATGCACAAATTTTAAAATTTTCCTATAATCTCAAAAGGATGTATTTAGAATAGATTACTTTTTATTCTCATTCTATTTTTATGATTATATTTTTCTTTCTTATTAAACTTATTTTATTTTTTAATTTTGTCTTTTATTCTAGTTTTAATTAATTAGCATTTAGTATTTAATATCAATTGATTTAATAAATAGAATTTCAAAATATAGATTACTGTATTAAAATAACATTTGATTGATTGTTAAAAAACCAGATTCTAAAAATTTTTTAACAAAATTGAGATTTTTATTGTATTTTAATTTTTGATGTTATTAGATTAAAATGTTTAAACTCTTAATTTTAATCAAAAATTTCTTAAAATTTAATTATTTCTAGAAAATCATCCATTCAATAAATTAATTTTATTAAATAAGTTTCTATCATATTTATTTAATATAAAAACTTTCTACTTTTTTTGTTTATAAATATAAATATAAAAATTAAGTATTATACAATTTTTTCTATATTCTATTATATTAATTATTTATATTTATATATTTATTATAAATATTCTTATTTCTATAAATATATATAATTATAATTTAAATTATATTACTCGCCTATTTTAATTTTGTCCATACATTTGAAGTTGTCAATCAGTTTACTTTAAAAGTCAAAATTGATAAATTATAGATCAGTTTAAAAGACTAGCAATAAAATTGATGTATTAATATAAGATTATCTGTATATAAAAATTTATAATTCTAATAGTTTAACTAAATATGAAAAAGTTATACTTTTCTTAAAGATAGGTTACAATTGTGGATGTTCATAAGAAATTCTAAAAGAAAGGTTTGCTGAATTACGTGAGACATTTCAAGTACTCTTTAGATCTAAATAAGACATATTTTAAATGGTCTAATTGAAAGCAATGAATGGTAGAAAATAACTGCCAGCCAACGTCTTAAAAAGAAATACATACTAATAAGTAAATATTTTACTACTGAGATTATAATATGTCACTTTGTCAGAAAATGTATCTCAATATATTAGAAATTAGTCACACCCACTTTGAAAATGTCAGAAATCACCTAGTGACAAATGGTATAATACCACGTATTCATAATAACATAAAATAAATGTCACGATAAAAAACTAAAATAGCTATTAATATAACAATCACTACTGCTGTGAAGAATTTTCTTAAAAACTATGCTAAAATACACAGATTACTAAGTCCTAGTAGAAACTTTAATTGAATTACCCAATCACTTATACTTTTACTAGCTAAAATGAGTTACAAGTTAGTCTATCTTAATTTTATTACAGGTCTTGAAAATAATAGCACATTAAAATTGTTAAAATATAACACATTCTGCAAGTAATAACACCAATTAATGCCTTATATTTAAATTATGAGTCTACAAACAGATTTATGTGATACATGCTAACATTTTTGGAATGGTTTATAATACAATGCTCGCAAGAAAGAAGAAGCAAGAAACTTACTAAAAAAGTACAAAGAACATTTAGTTAAAACTAAGTTAGAGAGAAACTATTACAACAGGAATATGAAATTAGCAAAAATAACAGAAAAAATTAGTAAATGAGCATTTTATGATAAGAAACAAAGCTGATTATTATAGCATTGACACAACTACTCATTATAGTTACGATTAGGTACAAAACGTTCACATGTTCTATTCCAATCAATAGGTAAGTAAGATTTACTATCTTAATCTACATAAAATACATTTATTTAGTATTCAAGATAAAGTAGTATGCAAACAAATTAATTACATTCTCAATGAAGATGAAATTATTAGTAAAGACCTCAATGGCATACTGAGCCTAGTATTCAATGGAATTAAGAAATTGAATAAAGACGAAAAATATTTAAAAATTACTTATGATAATACAAGTGAGCAAAACAAAATAATACCACTATTTGATTTTACTTATACAGTAGCGGTCATAAGTATCCGACCCCTCATAATTCTTAATTGCTGATCCGCCGATCAATCGGAGTACCTGATCACGATTTAATAGTAAATCTCGTGGTTAATTAAACATATGAAAAATTAA